ACACACACACACACACACACACACACACACACACACATAGAGTGTCACACATGTGGCAGTGTATATTTCCATGTTCTAGCGGTAAATTCATTCTATTTTGCTCATCCTATCGATGGAAGTACCATGAGGTCAGCCGCGAGGTTGGAGACTAACCTGTTCTCTTCTCTCTCTCTCTCTTTCTCCCTCTCTCTCTCTCTCTCACACACACACACACACACACACACACACACACACACACACACACACACACACACATAGAGTGTCACACATGTGGCAGTGTATATTTCCATGTTCTATCGGTAAATTCATTCTATTTTGCTCATCCTATCCATGGAAGTACCATGAGGTCATCCGCGAGGTTGGAGACTAACCTGTTCTCTTCTCTCTCTCTCTCTCTCTCTCTCTCTCTCTCTCTCTCTCTCTCTCCCGCCCCCCCGCTCTCCCTCCCTCCCCCTCTCTCGCGGCGACATTTGCATCTGACAGCTCCTTAGTCCATACTCACACCCGGATTTCTTTTCAATGTATCTGTCCGTCACGGTCTATCTTCCTATGTTCTTGCAGAAGATTCCTTCTCATTTCGCACATTGCCAGACTGCTCAGTTGATGCACATATGAAACAAAAAAAAGGTGTGGCAGTGTATATTTCCATATTCTGGCTGAAGGTTCATTCCGATTTTGCTCATCCTACACACACACACACACACACAGACCTACATTGCCACGCTTCCTGCCGTGTATAGACAGGACTGGGGCGCGGCTTCGCCGCGCTGAGTCCACTTGTTCTCTTAAAAAAGAAGATTCATTTTCTGGTAGGCCCTTTCAACTTCCAGTAGACTGTCTGTACCCAACTGCAAGACTTTGGGTGTGACTGACCCAATAGATCTTGCTGTGGGCAGTCTCTACCAACAATCCCAACGGGTTACCTTAAACTACCAATGTACATTTCTCAGTTTAACCACCAGTACTTGGCCCAGCTATTGGCCGCGGGAAAAAATAGAGTAGAAACATTTCTAGTTGGATGAATTTGGGCGCTCCTGTAGTGGCCCGTACCTTTCTTAAAATCGTGGTGCGTTAACGGGCAGGACTTCAGGAAGTACTGGCGGTCCAGTACATTTCCCAACCATTTTTCTCCGATGCGACTGCTGCATGCATGCCGTAACTTTCGAGGGTCAGCTGCTGGAGCAGCCCCTTGGTTTCTCCTTGACCGGCTTGGAGAGTCTACATGCATGCTTTGTGAGAAATTGTGCAGCGAGACGAGTGGATGATTTCGAAAAAAAAAAGTAAGAAAGGTTAGAGTTTCCATTTAACCTTACTGTCTACATATCTACACTGAGGGCTGCTGCATGTTAACTAATCATTGCAAAACAGTTACTTCAAGTATAAAGAGTTGTTGACGTTGGTTTCTGCATATGGTCATTTATCGTCTCTGAAATTCGATCTTGTTGATTGCCGAAAACCAGTGCATGCATCCTCTCATTTCATTACTTCAGTTATTGCGGAAGTGCACAATTTATCAGCAGGTGTGACATTGAAGCACAAAAGATCGGAACCGACTTAAGTTTCTGCGTATGGTCTTGGATGGATGGGAATGGTGCTAGCATACCCCAATACCACCGCCCTTCAGATGGCTCCCATAGATTGGTGGGGAGCTTCACCTGCTGGAAACCGGGTCCATAGCTTGTTGCTTATGGTCATCCATGGTATCTGAATCTTGTTCATTGCTGAAAACCAGCACATGCATCCTCTCATTTCATTACTTCAGTGATTGCGGAACTGCACAATTCATCAGCAGGTACGACATTCAATTTCAAGCACAAAAGATGGGAACATAGAAGAAATGTTGGGACCACAGGATTGAACTGATTGTGACCAGGTTCACTGCCATTCTGAAGTTCTCAAACCTGCACCTGGCTACTCGTGGTGGGATTGTACATACATGCCACTGCTAGCAAACAGATGATGAATAGAAATCCTGACGGAAGCTCCCAATGCCACACAGCACACTATAATGCATGCATAAAATAAAAGCATGAATTTGCAAACTGATAAGAGAATCATAAACTTTAAGTCACATAAACACATTGAATACAGTTATTAGGGATCAGTGGATGACTGATTAGGTGTTATATACAGACGGCATTGTCACTGACTCAAAATATTAAGCCCGGTTCCTACGATTGTTGGCTCCGTATGGACTCCGAAGGATCAGCGACCTGATCGCTGAATGCCACGAAGTCCTCCCGACTCCTGAGTCGCTACGACTGAAAGGTGTGGCCGCGGTGCTATCTAGCCATACAACCGGTGTTAGGAGCAGAGCAACTAGTACTTAGTACACATGGTCAAGAGATCTCGCCCCCCTGGCCATACCATCTCCTGTCTAATTCTGGGCATGAGCTGCCCTTGAGGAAAAAGCTAAGTACAGCTTTGTGCTATGTTAGTATGAGGCTACTGGTGGATTAGGCTGTATACAGGGTATAGTCTAGACATCTAAGATCCAGGGACGAAGTTCTGGGCGTAGGCCCAGGCGTTGTTGGCGACCGGGTCGGCCAGATGGTCGTTCAGGTTCTCCAATGGGCCCTTGCCGGTGACGATGGCCTGGACGAAGAAGCCGAACATGGAGAACATGGCCAAGCGGCCATTCTTGAGCTCCTTGACCTTCAGCTCAGCCAAGGTATCGGGATCGTCGGCCAAGCCCAAGGGGTCGAAGCTGCCGCCCGGGTAGAGGGGGTCCACCACCTCTCCGAGTGGTCCGCCGTTCACTCTGTAACCCTCGACGGCGCCCATGAGCACCACCTGGCAGGCCCAGATGGCCAAGATGCTCTGAGCGTGGACGAGGTTGGGGTTGCCCAAGTAGTCCAGCCCACCCTCGGAGAAGATCTGAGCGCCGGCCTTGAACCACACAGCCTCGCCGAACTTGACGCCGCTGTTGGCCAACAGCTCGGGAGTGAGGCAGCCGAGCGCGCCGAGCATGGCCCAGCGGGCGTGGATGACCTCCAACTCCCTATTGCGAGCGAAGGTCTCGGGGTCCGCGGACAGTCCAGCGGTGTCCCAGCCGTAGTCGCCGGGGAACTCGCCAGTCAAGTACGACGGAGTCTCACCGGACAACGGGCCCAGGTACTTGGGGCGGTCGGGACCATACCTGCAATGCAATGCACACACAAACGCAAACATAAACAGAGAGCACGACAATTGGCCGCCACAATCAGAGAAATGAAGGAACGAACCCTCGCTTTTTTCCGATTCTCTCTCTCTCTCTCTCTCTCTCTCTCTCTCTCTCTCTCTCTCTGTATATATATATATATATGTGACGATATATATATATATATATATATCGTCACAAATAGAACTGCCCGGTAAACCGTAGGCAGAGAGAGAGAGAAGAGGACAACAAACGAGGGGCTGTGATGTGTGTGTGTGTGGGTATATCTATATATCTCTATATATATATATCGTCAGACAGAAATACGATATATAGATATATATGTGTGTGTGTGTGTGTGTGTGTGTGCGGTACACTCCTCATGCGTGCGGCAGTGTGCGCGGGAGACAATCTCACTGTTTCTCGCGCTCGCTCGCTGGTTCACACACGCACACACACACACATGGCAACACACACACACACACACACACACACGCACACACACACACACACACACACACACACACACACACACACACACACACACCGCTTCAGGGAACAATGCCATGATTATATGCGAACATTGAGAAGCCGTAGAGATGTGGAGCGTACTGTTAACGGGAAGCAAATGCGCATGAAGGATAGATGGGAAGATAGAGAGTCTGAGAAACAATGCGAACGACCACTGTAGGGGGCACAGTGCCGTCTGAAGCAGACGGAATGGAGGGATGGACGCCCACGCAACTCGGAGACATTCAATGAATACGCTATCAATGGCAAGGATGCAAGCCACGGCCAAGCTAGATAGAACTGACTCCTGACGGATATGGCTGGTTTTTTTTTTTTTTTTTTTTTTTTTTTTTT